TTGGATGAAAAATGAGCAATAAAATAGGAAGGCGTTTATCGTCGGTTACCAAATAAAAGTCCGCGTAATTACGATGGTGACTTTTATGTTTTATTACATTTGCTAATGGTTGCTTTTATTATAATTAAGCTATTTGACAAGTCCCTTGCTATTTTGTATCTTTGCGAATGAAATTGTTCTGTACGACAGTTACGTATCTATTTTTACTTCAGTCCGCTTAATATTAGCCTGATTTTAAATAGTCTTTGGAAACATTTTAATGGAATGAAGTTAATACTTTTTTTGCAATAAAATGAACAGCATATTAGTGAGTATTGATTAATAGTCATGTAACATTTTACAACTAAAGTATTTAATAAACATACCTAAGGATTACAAGAATTACAAGAATTTAAATAAAATGTTAAAATGTATAATTTTTCTTTTCGTTAATATTTTTTTAACTAAAGCTTTTCCATTACCAAATAAAGTAACACTCTCAAACACATATTTAGGCCCACCAGCGGCCTAGCGGTAAAGTCGCTGAACAATGGTAGTTCGGTCCGAGGTTCGAATCCCGCGAACGGGCTGGCTGCATGGGTGTTTTCGTGGTTTTCCCTATGTGTAACGTGTTTACGAGCCAGTTTCCCTTAGAAAGTCCTCCACGGAAGGCATCCCTCCTCTTAGGCAGATAGCCCTAGTGTGCTTTGCCATAATTAAATACACCAACACACCACCAAACACATATTTGTATGCATTCGAATGAGAACAAATATATCACAAGAAAAATTTTAAAAAAATATTGTTGACTTTTTTGAAGACAATACTTAGTGTTTCACTAAAGTAAATGTCAGTCACTGTTACAGTGCTGCATTACTCACGTAAACTTACACACAAGAATTTATTAACTTTTTAGTTAATGTATAAAACTTAATATTATCATTAAACGTTACTTAAATTAATATTTTAATGTCACGAATAATTGTTACAATTTTTTATGTTACCTACGAAGTCCGTTCCTATCTGCTGTTAGCATTCAGCTGCCATAGGTTTGCCGTTTAGAAAATTTGCTATATTCATATTTCGTTTGTTTTAATAATTAGCCAAAATGGGCGTTAATCCAGGAGGGCTATTTGTCTCGAAACGACATTTCGTGTCGTATCACTATAAACAGTTATAACTCTTTTAAAATTGTTGCCACCAAATAATATCTCCCTCTAATATAATTTTAAAAAAACTAAATAATTAAGAATCTACATGAATGTATGTACGTTTCTCGCATTGTCAAAAAATCATCAAATTAATATCATCAAAAAATAGAGTCATTAAATTTTAAATAACATAGCTCTGCACCTGGAAGCCTGAATTTGTTTCACTGTCTATTTTCATACTCTGTAAATCTTTAACGAAATTTTGATTAACAAACTGAATAATATCATAGCAAGCAGTGGCAACACTGTACGGAATAAAATATTTTTATTTCCAGAGCGCGAGACTGTCTATCGGAAATTCTAAAAATATGCTGATTTTAAATATTTCTAGTCCAATATGGCGTTAGACCAAAAGGCTCTCGAAACGTGTATGTGTCTGTAAACGAAAAACACCCCGTTTTGGCCTAATATAAAAGCTGTCAGATTTTAATAAATTCTTTATTTTTTAATATTCAGTTCGGTACTATTTAAATGTTTTTCGCCTTTATTCAATTGCTGTGATTTAGTGATTTATTGATTTTTCCCTCCTATTTATGACGGATTCGGTTATTTGGATGACGGCAAACTGCATGAGGGACATCTGTAAGAGAAGGGATGACATCATGCGGAAAAATTTCAGGGAAATACATATATAAATAATCATTTTCTGGGTGAAGGAAAAATGTGAATACACATAAATTCAAGGTAAAATTTGAAAAGTCCTAATTATCTTAGCTAGTGAATAAGTGGTGAAATCATAGCATAATCCCTGTGTATGGAAAAATATGAATTAAACAAATTAGCAGTGTATTAAAAATTAAGTAAAATTATTAAATTTATATTGAAAGTACTCTAGAAACTTGGCCAAAAATTGTTGCAATGTTTGACAGAAGGAAAAGTTATTAATCTCCCTTGTTTAATGTTTCAGACAGAACTTATCAAGAAGAGTGTGTTTGAAATTTTAAATTTGGTCTATCAATGAGTTCCGAATACATGTTTCGTTCCTCTGGTCCATTTAAGACTTAAAACCGTTATGCTCCAATTTTATAATAATATTTAATATTATAACCATCAGAACTAGTCACAAATGAGTTCGTATCAATCCCCTCAAGTATCTGAACTCAAAAATAACGAAAACAATTTCTATATGAAAATCGTTGTATTTATACATACATATGTAATAAAAAGGACTTTGAAATATTGGGGTTGTAAACGTAGAATGTGTTGAAGGTTCGTGCGGTTCATTTGTTTACTATCTAAACACTTGCTATTTCTGACAAGCAGATAAATAAAACAAAATGAAAGTTCTTACCTTATTAATGGGTAATCCATCTTGCTATATGTAAGGAACACAAATTATTATTATTAGCCCACAAAAAGCATATGTATTATGTATGTGAAGAAAAAAAAATTCTAGCGTTCGTACAAGCCTTATCTGCTTTCCATGGCAGAACGCGTAAGAAATGAATCATACAAGGAGAGGGTGTTCCTTTTTTTTTGGGGGGGGGACTGTGTCCGATACTGGTTAGCGTGTGGAAGTGACGTCTGAAATACAGCTTAATTACTTTCGTTTTCAATGACGACTGCTCCACAGAATATTGACTTTGTAATGAAGAGCAAGAATTTTGATGATGTAGAATGCTGAAATGCTGATTCACAACGAATAGGAAATTGGCAGTTGAAGCAGATTAACTCTTTATTTTATTTTATTAAATATGTTGCGGCCACAAACAACTTGAATAGCATTATTTGTGCCTATTTCGAGAAGTTTACATTTTTGATAACTTTGCAGTAAGACGGAAGCAGCAGACAGCGGTCCAGCTAGGCCGAGCAGTAGCAAGCGAATGCCTTATGTTAGGATGAAATCTGAATTCTGGCTGAGTTGGTTCTCAATGCATTTGATTGGATGCTGCTCTAAAATTATTATTGGGTGTGTGGATTTTAGTTCCATTTACATCATCAGAGCTATGTACGAGTTATTTGACACGGATTAGACTTAATATGACGCAATGAAAAGGAGGATTACTGTTTTTAGAATACAGATGGAGGGTTATTAATAATTTAAATCTTAATTTATCTTTCATATATTTTTTTACTTTTCTTACATATATATATATATAACTTCCGTTGACAAATCACCTCTAAAAACGGCCTGTATTTCTCCGGATAATTAAATAATGGTGAGAGTTGGCAGTCATATTCTTAACGGTAACTATATCCTCAGTAAATTAAAAATGTCCAGATCTGTGGACGACTGTCTTAAGTTTCACTGTATGCAGCTTTAATAATTTTCAGTTCAAAATTTAATATGTCTGAAAATATTATTTCTATCTCTATCTTTGCGCATCAGCTAATTATAATTATTTCGTAAACTGAGATTTTAAATATTGAAATTAAAAAACAAAACCTCTGTTTTGTTTTAATTTCTGGAAATAATCAATCGATGTGTACTCAAGAGTGTAACTTATTAAAATTTTGAAACACCAAAATCGAAAAGAAATTTTTATTCTTTCTTAAAATAGAGAATTGTGCAAATTGAACCCTGGAGGTATATTTGATGGGTTGGAGAAAGGAAAAAAGGAAGTATAAAATGTAATGAATTATTCCTAAGTTAATATTTAAACTTTCGCTTGGTTAAAGCTAACTGACTCTAATATTACTCGAGGGATGTCGTTATTAAGAAAGCTTTCTTTCGCAATAATATAAAAAACAAATTATTTCACTAGTCATATTTTAAGATTTTGGTAATAACTACAGCATTTAAATTGAACCAGAGACAACAAAATGATTACGCAGCACACTGGAAATTCAAATTATATTTTCTTTCAATTAAGTATTTCATTATGCGTGACGTATACCAGAATTTTTGCCATTAAATTAAATTCTTCATTTTTGTCCCTGTGGTGCTTTCACGTGCAAGCGAATACGAGATGGCTGAAAAAAAAAAAAGACTTTTATGGTACAGTTTAGTTTTATGGTACAGTTAGTTTTGTCTTCTTGATAGGTGTAGCGGTTAGCGATGCTAGCTGTCATTACGGGGAAGGCGGTGTAAGTCCTCATGTCTATCTGAATTTTTAATTTAGTGAGTTATATAGTGATACTATGCACATTATAGTTATGTACAGTTATACAGTAATATTATGAATCGTAACTTGTATAGTTAAAATAATACATCTCCAATCTTGATAAAACAATATACTACAGGTTGTCATCTAGGGCAGTGGCCTCCAAACACTTCGCGTACTCGAGGGAGTACGAAAAGTCATATGTGGAGATACGTAAAAGAAGAACCTCACGATTACTTGGGAGTGCATGATCTTGTATGATATGAGTTCGAGTTTTTCTCATATATCTCTGAGTCTGGTTTCATTAGCGCCTGAGGACTGATGAGTTCGTCATCAGAAATGCACCGGCTTGTCGCCCCAAAAGGGATTGTGATTGGTGATTCTGATTACTTTACCAAAGGGCTTGTACGAAAGTGTACTATACAGAAAAAAAATATCGGACGTAGAATTCCAGGCCTACGAAAAATTCCTAATATCATCCACTAGTATTTTTTTTTTTTACTCTTTAACTAAATTCATTATTTATTGCATGAAATAACTAGGTATTTTGCGAAATAACTGAATTGTGCATCTTAACAATAAATATATGTGGGAAACTTTAATGAATAGTCTTTTTAATGAGAATTTAAATTTTTATATTATTAAAGGTTTTGCCAAAAATTACTTTTGTTAGAAATATTGTAATATGCTTCTACATACTTTTAGAATTTATATATACTATCACCTTTATATTATAATATCTAACATTAATTTAATTACTTTGCAGAGCCCCATGCACACGTCCAACCTAGAATAGTACATTGGCGAAGAGAGGTGCAAGGATATAACGGTGAAACAATTTTACTTCCATGCGTGGCTCATGGCTATCCTGTACCCACAGTTCGCTGGTACAGACAAGATTCAAACTTAATGACAACATTCGCAGCAAATCGTAGATTTAGTGAGCAAGAAGGCTTACTTATGATACACAGAGCAACACTTCAAGATAGTGGAAAATACATCTGTGTAGTTAATAACAGCAAAGGACAAGAACAGATCCACACAGTTTTAACTGTGAGAGGTAAGTACCAGTTTGAGTCATGTTCTGTTTTCTTCTAAAATCTTTTATAATTGTAGTTTTATTTCTTGAACGAGTTTTATTTAATATGTTCGAAAATAAACGAAGTTGCAAAAGCTAAAAATGAAATAAATCTACACGTATGATTAAAGCGTCATATTTCAAATTATTGATTAGTAGCATCAGAAGTACTATTAGTATCAATTCTCACATTTGTATCCATATAACTTTTTATGTTATCGGTATGTATTATTTTTAATAAAACAATACAGCAAGTATAAAAAGTGCATGATAACACTTAATACTCTATCTGGAATATTAAAAATACGCCTGTTTTTAAATATTTTATGATTTTGATGTTGAATTTATGTAGCGTAAATGCGAAGAAAGTGGTGTTTAATTAAGTAAAATTAAAAAGATATGAAATGAATAATAAAAAGATCTGCAAGTTATCTTACTAAAAAAACTGATATTTATATGATGAATTTAGAAAAGACTAAAAAATTTAATAGCAACGCTTAATAATATATCGAGAATTCAAAGCATACGCTGCAGTTAAATATTTTATAATTTTACTGTTGTATTTTACTTAACGACGTTTAATAATAAAATTAAAAGGACAAAATATACATGTTAGCAGAAGTAAATCAAAAAGCAAATTGATAATCTACGAGCTCAGCGAGAGAAAAAAATCCTTAACAAATCTTTGGTGCAACATTAAAATGTGAATGCTTTCAGAATTTTTTAAAAAATTTTGTCTTTTAATTCTTGCTTTTCAATTTTTAAACTGTTCGGTTGAAATTCTTTTTGGAATTTCATGAGATTTTTCACATCGTTTTGAGCTAGAGTTAGCATTTCTTTGAATGTTCTACGCATAGATGATCCGTCGTTTACAGATATATCTCATCTACTGGCCCGTGTTCTATTATTCTTGCATTAAGAAAACAAGTACATAAAAAAGAAATCATTTAAATACGATACTGTATCTGAAACTGAAGAGTTTGGTAGACAATAAGGTATACAACGATACTGTTACCATTTTTTTTTTTTTTTTTTTTTTTTTTTATCGGGAACACAAAAACACAAACAGCTTGCCTTTTGCTTCCCTGTTAAAATGATGATACGTTGAGCTAACAGATCTAAGTACATAAAAAAAAAAAAAAATTAAAGCGATTGAAACATGCACAGAATAATAACTTGCTGTAATATTTTTTAAAAGTTTTACAAAAGTTAAAATACATTCAGATATGTTAGTTAATTCATATCAAGTAGCGTAATTTCAAATGCTTTTACTGTACAAACACTGATGGAAAACGAAATCCCAGCACCAAGAAGAATTCAGTTCAGAGGAATGAAATGTAGACAAAGAATTTGTGTAGACAATGTATTTATTTGATTAATATGCCAAGGTCACAGATAAAAGTGTGCGCGAGAAGAGATATTTCAGATGTAAAATAGTAGTACATTAATAACGGCTGTCGCTACGATGTTGAATGCAAGCATGCAAACGAGATTGCCTTGTGTCGTACAGGTGCCGTATTTCATTTTGTAGCCCACCAGCGGCCGAGCGGTAAAGACGCTGAACACTGGTAGTTCGGTCTGAGGTTCGAATCCCGCGAACGGGCTGGCTGCATGGGCGTTTTCGTGGTTTTCCCCATGTGTAACGTGTATACGAGCCAGTTTCCCTTAGAAAGTCCTCCGCGAAAGGCATCCCTCCCTTTAGGCAGATAGCCCTCGTGTGCTTTGCCATAATTAAATACACCAACACCAACATTTCATTTTGTAGAATAGAATTTCATGGTTGTTGCGCTTGATCAGTCAAATCAGCAATAGTACGTGCTGGTTGTAAATGGTGCAGGATTTGTTTTTCAATCATCCCCCCATATGAGCTGAATGGTAGAAAGATGACTGATCACGCATTTCAAGACAAAACACTCTGTAGAGCAAGTTGGATGATAGCAGCGATGGAGCGAGGAGTGTTATCTTGTTGCTAAATTCGCTCTGAAATATTACTCAAAAATAGCAGCACAAGCGGTTTAGTCACCGGTCTGATGTATAGATTTGCTGTCAAGGTGTGTGGGATAGCAATGAGATTGCCCCTGCTGTCTTAGGGAATTTCTAAGCACAGCATTACTCTTTGTATTTGTCCAGTATGTGTACCCTGCAGATAGCTTCCTTACAAGCGCTCACATAGGCTCCTTCAAAACTAGCATCAAGACTGAAATAACTCTCGTCTGAGAACAAAACAGATCCCCACTTCGCCCTCCAGTGAACTCTCGTCTGAGAACACAACTGATCCCCAATTCGCCCTCCAGTAAACTCTAGCTTGACATGACAGCAGTTTCAGATAGCTGTGATTTATAATTAGTGGTATGCCTGCTACACTAAGTATACTGTAATTAGCGTAAGGAGCACTAATTATACTATAATTAGTGTAGACTTGCTTGCAGCTGTATCGTAATCATTTTGTTACAGGTTGCTGTGTCCCTCTCAGCCGAAAGACTGCTGCAGATTTAACGCGATGCGTGACAGACATCCGGCAAATAGGGCCGTCTTTCCTTTGAGTGGTTACATGTGTGCTGCCAGACACCGAGCTTCCTTGAGAAGCTGTGATTACAAGCCATAATAATGCCAACCTGCCCAATATAATATTGATAATTATCTGCGTATATGAAAAATCCATTCCCGGTATTAATTAGATGCCATTCTTCCTTGCGTTTTCCTTCCTTATTGCTCCAGCAATATGACTTTCAGTTAGCATATATTCGTTTGTAAACAAACTAGTATATTACTGGTTAATACCCCCAGATTTATCTGATATATATATATATATATATGTGTGTGTGTGTGTATGTATTTTATATTTTATTTATTATTCTGTTTCCTAATTCTTAAGTTTCTTCTTTCCGGAAGATAAATACATTCAGTACCCGGATTAATCTCTCATGACTAATTAAAATACACGTACTTTCCTCTCCACATAAAACAGAAATAAGTCATACATTTCATAAAGGGAATAATTCGTAGCACTAACAATGCATGTCCCTTTTATCAATTTATAAACCTAGATCAATTATACAGTTGAAGGGTTAGAACTTCCGTAGTTACATCATCTAAGTATTGTCGTTAAAGGACAGACCCAGGTAGTAATTCATGCAGCTCAAACTCATAATTAGTTCTTTTAGTGGGTTTTAATGGGAGAGGTGCTGATTCAGTCCAGAGGATGGCTGTCCTCTAAGCGTAAAAGTACGTTACGTGAAAATTGCTGCCAACACGCATGCGCATGCGTAGTGGACATAGCCCTGCCTAGTCTTTCTGCAGTATCGGAAAAAGAAAATGTATTTTATCTCGGCCTCATTCTCACTCAGTAAGTTACTGATACTGCCTTCTTTGTCTCTTTAAATACATTCTAGACTCAAATCTTGCTGATTTTGCTCAATTCGGAAGATAAAATAAACACACAAAATTTGCATCGAGTATTTGAAACAAACGTTGTTGCTGTGACTAATCTCACTTGTCTGACCGCATCATCAGAACAAACCCACGAAATTTATCGTGGCAAAGGGTACAAGATTACGTCCGTCGTTGTCAACAGCCTTGGTCACCATAGAGGTGATAGTACGATTTTGCCCAGTTCCACCAGAATTTTGAAAGGCAGCACGTTGGGAATAGGGTGAGGGTCTCAAACCCCTCTTACCCTATAACCAAGCCACACGGGAGGCCTTTCGGTTAGCCATATATTTAAATTGCGCCCATGCCGCAAAGTCACTATACATTTGCAAACATCCATACCTTCTCACTAATTCGAATTCTAGACCTTCGGTTGTCAGATCCCACTAGGCTCTATCCCGATTCAGCGGCTGAAGAAAACCTAATGGCGTTACTAGTGTAACTCTCATAATGACATTACCAGTGTAACACCTATTCGTCTACCGTGAAATTTGAACAAGGATCAACGTTCAGATGTGCAGATACTCTTTCTAATTTTTGTTTACCACTACAACTCCTTCTTGCTGTTGGACTTTCATTTTCCATCAGTACACTCAAACCTGTTTTTGTGCAGTGGATAGGGATCGCATAAAAATCGCACAGAACTTCACGCGTAGCCATAAAGATTAGTTTTCGCAACACAATTAAAAAGTATATTTTATGCGGTCTGTATTCACCGCATAGAAAAGTCCCGAGTATAAAATAAATAAAAATCTTACTAAATAGCCAGGAATTGTGTTTAAACGAAATCTAAACACTGGAATCTCGTCAAACCTTTTAGAATCTGATTTAGAAAATATACATGCGAACATTTTTAAATATTTTTATTTACATATGCAAAACATTTCAAAACCTATAACCATTATCCTTCGTAGTTTGACGATAGGCTAACTTTCTTGTGGTAAACTGGCTCAAACTCACTTTCGTCACTTGAAGATACTACCTCTCACTCGTTTAGAGTCGACATGTTTTAGTTACCGTGTAGTCAGTGATCATTTCTTTTACTAGAGGCTTGTATACGTCTCGTTAGCCAGATATACAAGATTGAAGCTCCTTGGGGAATTTTAGCTTTGCGACGCAAGAATTCCAAAGCAATATGCTATTGCACATTTAATTTATTTACATGAAAATTCTTGTGTATTGAACAATTAAATTATGCGATCATAGAATATGTAATGTGGTGAAATACTACATATCGAAAATCTAAAAAACTAAATGGCCGATAAAAGCTTCTATTTTTGTTATTGATAACTTCATCAAATATGTTCCAACTGATTGAAATATTCATATGCCGCACAAAAAATCGTACAATAAAGCCCGCACAAAAACAGATTTGAGTGTATAGTAAAGGTATGTTAATTCCAAAAAAGATATACGAGTCATGGAATTCTCATACTTGGCACTATGCGCCGTAACTACATTTACAAACATTGTGTTTCAATTGAAAAGATGCTTTTAATAATGGTTTTTGAATACCTTTATATTAATTAAAGCAAAGTGAAAATGATTAATGT